AGGTGGAGAAGCTGGTTCGAAAAGCGTACCAATCTGTACCTGCGCTCATTGTAGGGAACCTGGTGCAGACATTCATCGAATGGCATCCGCGACCTTGAAGTCAGAGCTGCTGTGACGTTCGGGCACCACGAGACGCTTAAGGATGCGTTGGCCCATGCACTAGAGGTGGAAGCCGTGCGACAGGATCATCGTTCTTATCGCGTCAGGCAGGTTGCAGCAGCTACAGTTCGTGACCGTAGTAAAGGATACAGACCTAGTTGCTATGGCTGTGGGGAGATGGGCCATCTTCGATTCAGCTGTCCTAAACGAACTGTAGAAATGAAACGTGATCGATCTCGAGTGGGTAGTGCGGCTAACAGCACCGCCCAGCAGCAGCATGGAAACTGGCAGGTGCTGGCTGATGTTAAAAGAGCCACAAGGATTTCGATCTCACAAACCCGTGATGGAAACAGCCTGATCATTAAGGGCGAGGTCAACGGAACGCCGTGTAAACTGACCATATACACTGGAGCCTCTCGCACGGTTGTCAGTTCCCAACTTATAAGTCAGTTCCTTGGGGACTCCGCATACAACCGCGAAATCATTAATTTGGTGACAGCCACCGGTCAGCGCATACCTGTCTGTGGAGAGAAGGAGATGGAGTTGAAGCTCGGCAACATGATCTACCTGCATAATAATTTTTAACGGTGGTAGAGCCACGCAGCAGTTTTTGCTGTTGCATGTATGGGCCGGCTCGAGCCGGGTTGGTACCACGACCTCACAGAATACCGGCGTGAAGTAGAAGCTTTGCTTCTGCGTTTCGTCTGGTGAGTGCAGGTGGCCGGAGGCCCAATTCCCCCCCCCCCCCCATCAACACGGTAGCGGAATTACACGAAGAACTACCCCAGGAGGGTACCAGCACCCCTGGAGAATCCCTCGCTGAGCATCCACGACCATGTTATTCCGATCCTGAGCGTGGGTGCTCAGGCTGCCCCGCGTATTCTGGGGGGGGGGGGGGGGCAAAATTCCGCTCAAAAGCATTACTGCTAGGGGCAAACTGAGCAAGAACACCAAGGCGACCCCTGCCACGCTATCCGTGAATTTCTGCAACATCAGGGGACACTCTAACCTAAACGCCGTCCACTACCATTTTGAGACGGCGAAGCCGGCCTTGCTGTTTCTGACCGAGACGCAGGTTTCCTCTCCGGCTGATATTTCGTATCTCTCCTACCCGGGGTACAAATTGGAGCATTCCTTTGTGCCTCGGGCTGGAGTTTGCGTGTATGTCAGAGAGGACATCTGTTCTCGACGCCTCGGCAGTCTTGAAGGTTCGGACCTGTCCATCCTTTGGCTACGCGTAGACAGCGACGACCATCCGCGCGTCTACGGGTGCCTCTATAGGTCCCATAGCGGTAATGCCGAAACAGACCGACTCATCGACCACGTCCAAATGACTACAGATTTCTTGCTACAACAGGTCCCATCCGCAGAGATCGTGATCCTTGGAGATTTTAACGCCCACCATGCGGAATGGCTCGGTTCACGTCTAACCGATCATGCGGGGAGATCTGTTTATGACTTTGCCTTGGCATATGGTCTGACACAACTGGTTACTTCGCCTACGCGGATTCCAGATGTGGAGGATCATACACCTTCCCTGTTGGACCTTCTGCTGACCTCTCATCCGGACGGATATCTGGTTTCCGTCGATGCCCCTCTCGGCTCTTTAGACCATTGTCTGATCCGAAGTGTGGTGCCACTCACGCTCCCTTCGCGGTTGCGTTCTGCAGGTTGCCGCCGTGTTTGGCATTACAGGTCGGCGGATTGGGACGGAATGCGGTCCTTCTTTGCATCCTACCCATGGGGGCGGGTTTGCTTCTCGCCGGATGATCCCAGCGCTGTTGCTGACTCTGTCACTGATGTGGTGCTACAGGGAACGGAACTATTTATTCCATCATCTGCGGTACCCATCGGAGGCAGATCTCAGCCTTGGTTTGGTCGCTCCTGTAAGACTGCATTACGCAGTAAGCAGGAGTGTTATCAAGCCTGGGCTGCGGCTTCGGCGACTCGGGCTGTAAATACCAGCACACTTAAAAAGAAGTATAACTTCGCCTCCAGGTCCTTCAAAAGAGTTATTGCCAAGGCAAAGTCAGAGCACATAGGCAGAATTGGCGAGAAACTAGTTCGCCTTCCTTCGGGAACCCGTGCATTCTGGTCTCTCGCCAAGGCTGTCCAAGGGAATTTCTGTAAGCCATCACTACCATCTCTGCACAGGGAGGATGACTCACTGGCCCATGACGCAAAAGACAAAGCCGACCTTTTAGGCTCCCTTTTTGCGTCCAACTCGACTCTTGATGACGGCGGGAAAACACCGCCGACCATCCCGCGGTGTGAGTGCTCCATGCCGGATGTGCTGTTCTCACAGCGCTCGGTTCGCACAGCACTGCTCTCCCTGGACATCCAGAAGTCGAGTGGGCCTGACGGAATCCCCCCAATTGTGCTGAGGACGTGTGTTCCGGAGTTGGCACCGGTCCTAACACGTCTTTTCCGGTACTCCTACTCCCAAGGCGTAGTCCCGAATTCATGGAAGACAGCTTTTGTCCACCCGATCCCTAAAATAGGCGACCGCTCAGACCCATCCAACTATAGGCCTATCGCGATCACCTCCTTGTTCTCCAAAATAATGGAATCCATTATTAACAGCCAGCTCATCCGGTACCTTGAGAATCACCAGCTGATTAGTGACCGCCAATACGGTTTTCGTCGGGGTCGATCAGCTGGTGATCTTCTGGTCTACCTGACCCATAGATGGGCGGAGGCAGTAGAGTCCAAGGGGGAGGCGTTGGCCGTTAGTCTGGACATTGCGAAGGCCTTCGATCGGGTTTGGCACAAAGCGCTTCTTTCGAAGCTCCCTTCCTATGGGCTTCCCGAGAAATTGTGCAATTGGATCACCAGCTTCCTTGTAGATTGGAGCATCAAGGTCGTTGTAGACGGTGCATGCTCTGACTACAAGCCTATTAACGCTGGTGTTCCACAAGGCTGTGTGCTATCACCAACGCTGTTTCTTCTGCATATCAATGATATGTTGCTAACTGGTAACATTCATTGCTATGCGGATGACAGCACTGGTGATGCTCTATACACCGGCCGTGCCAATATTTCTCGGGAAAACGTCGCTGAGTACCGGAACAAACTTGTGTCTGAAGTGGAGTCTTTGCTGAATAAAGTCTCGGATTGGGGGCGACTAAATCTAGTCCAATTTAATCCTCAGAAGACACACGTTTGCGCGTTTACCGCTAAAAAGAACCCCTTTGTCGTATCTCCTCAGTTTCAAGGCACTCCCCTTCTTGCCTCAGCCAGTATCGGTATCCTCGGAGTCGACATATCGAGTGACGTGCAGTTTCGTGGTCACTTGGAAGGGAAGGCCAAATTGGCCTCTAAAAAGCTTGGCGTGCTCAGCAGAGCGGGACAGTATTTCATGCCGGCACACCGCCTGCTACTTTACAAGGCGCAAGTTCGGCCTCACATGGAATACTGTTCCCATCTCTGGGCAGGGGCTCCCCAGTGCCAGCTCCTTCCACTTGACCGCATCCAACGCAGAGCGGCTCGAATTTTCGACGACCGAGCCGTTTCCGATCGGCTCGATTCATGGGCACTGCGAAGAGATGTTGCATCCCTTTGCATTTTCTTTCGCATCTACCATGGGGAGTGCTCTGAGGAATTGTTCGGATTAATCCCAGCCGCCAAATTTCACGAACGCACATCGCGGCAGAACTCCCGATACCATCCACACCATCTGGATGAATGGCGGTCCACCACTGTGCGATTTAGAAGATGTTTTCTTCCTCGCACGACCTCCTTGTGGAATCGATTCACATCAGCGATTTTTCCGGACCGATACGACTTAGGGACCTTCAAGAAAAGAGCGTACTCCTTTTTAAAAGGCCGGCAACGCATCTGCGATTCCCCTGGTGTTGCAGTTGTTCATGGGCGGCGGTAGTCACTTACCATCAGGTGAGCCGCATGCTTGTTTGCCCCCTCTCCTATAAAAAAAAAAATCGTGGCTGATATAATGGACCACTGCATCTTGGGCCAAGACTTTATGAGGAAGAATTGTTGTGAGATCGACGTAAGCAAGGTGTTTTGAAATGTGGACAAGAGGAACTTTTCATGGAAGCGCCGTTACCAGGGAATGTGTACAGCCTTAAAAAGTTTGTACTTCCGCCGAGATTGGAAACGATTGTACCGGTTAGTCTTCCTCGGAGTCCTGGGCAAGCTCATTGTTGTGTACTCGTAGAAAGGGTAGACAATGACCTTCCATGGAAAGTGGCTCGAACCATGGTCAGAACCACCGACATCTCAGGAGTACGTGTGTTGAACATTTGTGATCAGGAACAGATTATAGAAAAAGGCACATTGGTTGGTATTAGTGAGGAAGTGGATTGGTTGCGTCGGTGCTAATATCTATCGACCAGCAAGGATGGACAAACGAGAGTGACCACACTTTTAGAAGACTGTCGCAGCGTTCTCTCCCCGAATGAAATGGTCAAGGCGAAGATGTTGTACTCAAGTACGCCAATGTTTTCTCGTCAAACGAAGCTGACATAGGAAAGACTGGCTAAGTTCAACACAAAATAAACACATGAGAAAAATTGCCTATTCGTAAGCGGCCAAGGAGATTGCCTGTAGCACGTGAAAAGGAAGTGGAAACCATGATTGAGGGAATGGTGAAGGATGGTGTTATTGAACCTTCATCTAGTCCATGGTGTTCACCTGTGGTGCTGGTAAAGAAGAAGGACGGCAGCATGCGGTTTTGTGTTGACTACCGCCGCCTGAACGACGTTACGAAGAAGGACAGCTATCTCTTGCCAAGAATTGATGACACGCTGGACATACTTACAGGCGTAAAGTAGTTCAGTACGCTGGACCTGAAAAGTGGCTACTGGCAGGTTGAAATTAATCCTAAGGACAAGGATAAAACTGCATTCTCCACAAGAAAGGGCCTGTGGCAATTTAGAGTCATGCCGTTTGGATTGTGCAATGCTCCAGCAACGTTTGAAAGGTTGATGGAGCTTGTACTTACCGAGCTAATTGGAGATGCCTGTCTGGTCTACTTGGATGACATCATCATCGTAGGCCGAACGTTTGAGGAACATCTTAAAAACCTGGAACGCGTGCCCATGAAGATCCAGAGTGCCAACCTCAAGTTGAGTCCGAAGAAGTGCTCACTATTCAAACGGCAAGTTAGCTTTTTGGGGTATGTTGTGTCGGGAGAAGGTATCCGCACGGATTCAGAGAAAATTGCCGCTGTCAAAGAGTGGCCGGTTCCAAAAGGCAAGACACAGGTTAGAGCGTTTTTGGATTTGTGCTCTTATTATCGGTGATTTGTGAAGAACTTTTTAGATATAGCCAAATCTCTGCACAAGATAACCGAGGAGAAGCGACATTTCTGCTGGGATGAAAGTTGCGATATTGCATTCCAGGAGCTCAAGAACCGTCTATGCAAAACACCTATTTTGGGGTACCCTGATGCGGGCAAGGAATTCATAGTTGACACAGATGCAAGTGATATAGGACTTGGCGGTGTATTGTCTCAACGGAATGGTGATCAAGAGATTGTGATAGCGTACTTCAGCAAGTCGTTGTCAAAGCCGGAAAGGAACTATTGTGTCACAAGACGGGAATTGCTTGCTGTGGTAAAGTCCTTGCAGCATTTTAGCAAATATCTTCTGGAGCAGAAATTCCACTTACGAACTGACCATGCTGCCCTGAAATGGCTATTGCAGTTCAAAAATCCGGAAGGACAAGTTGCGAGATGGATTGAACTACTGCAGGAATACGACTTTGTGATCGTACAACGCAGCGGGAAATCTCATGGCAATGCAGATGCAATTGTTAAGAAGACTTTGCCCTGAAGATTGCAAGCATTGTACTAGCTAAGAGGGCAACGAAGTGGTATCTGTGAGGATTCTCAGGACAGACCAGCTCAGCAATGAGTGAAAGGACAGCCTACAACATGCACAGCAGGAGGGTTCGGACATCAAGCCGAATTTGGAATGGATGAAGGCCAGTGCTCCTAAGCCCAAGTGGAGCGACGTCTCAGCAATGAGTTCGACCACGAAAAGCTATTGGGCCCAATGGGACAGTTTGCTGATTCAGGATGGAGTCCTGTGCCGTAAATGGGAAAAATGTCGGGGAGACAGATGTCATTTGCAAATGGTTGTCCCTAAGGCTAAAGTACCGGATGTTCTACAGCTGTACCATATTGGTTTTTCAGGCGGCCACCTGGGAGTTAAACGAACTCTACTGAAGATCCAAGAACGGTTTTACTGGGTCCACTGTCGTGACGATGTCGAGGAATGGTGCCGCCAATGTGCAATTTGTGCGGCTGTAAAGGGACCTCAAACTCGTAGTAGAGGCACATTGAAATTGTGCAATGTTGGTGCACCATGGGAGAGGATAGCCATTGACGTTGCGGGGCCGTTTCCGGAAAGTGAAAGTGGTAACAAGTATTTCATGGATGGATTACTTCACTAAGTGGCCAGAAGTCTTCGCCATTCCAAATCAAGAAGCTTCAAAAGTTGCAGATAAACTAGTTCATGAAGCACTTCTATCGTTTTGGAGTACCTTTAGAGATTCACAGCGATCAAGGAAGGAATTTTGAATCTCAAATATTCCAGGAAACTTGCAGAGTTATGGGTACTCATAAAATACGAACAACTTCTTACCACCCACAATCTGATGGAATGATAGAACGTTTTAATCAGACATTGGAAAGATACTGGGCAAAAGTTGTGGAAAAAGAGCAACGACACTGGGACAGGCACATACAACCGTTTTTGTTGTCATATCGAAGCGTTGTTCACGAAAGTACATCAGTGACACCAGCTTTCGCAAACTTTGGGAGAGAATTACGGCTGCCTGCAGACCTGATCACCGGGATACCACCTGATGCCCCACGCAGTAAAACCGATTATGCAAATGACTTGCGAAACAAAATGAAAGACATTTATGAGCACGTCAGACAGACGGGCCAGCAAACGTCTGATAAGATGAAAACACGGTATGACCGCAAAATGAACAACAAGGGGTTTGATGAAGGTTCACTAGTGAGGTTACACAAACCAGTTCGCAGCAAAGGGAAATCTCCTAAGCTTCAAGCTAAATGGAACAGACCGTACTGGATTGTGACAAGGATCAATGACGTAACCTATCGGATACAGAAAGGTGCCAGACGTATTCCTAAGATTGTCCATGTGGATCGACTGGCGCGTTATTATGGGGCCAATAATGCTCGAGACGAGCATGTCTTAGGAGGGGGCAGTGTTGCGCGGCACTATTAATGTCTTGTACATGGCAACACTAGCTACACTAGCGCCCTCTAGTGTCGAGTAGCAGTACTAGGAGAGTCGACATCTTTCCAGAAATTTCGGAACCGACATGTACTCGAACATTCTAGATGTCGCTACAGTAGAAGGTTCTGGAAACTATCTGAGGCCCTATATAAGGCCGGTATAGACCACGACCGGGGGAGTATTGAATTGGCGATACAAGAGAATACTTCGAAGCGAAATAACGGCGAACTGTGTTTTATTATTAGTGTGATTTTAAGTTGTAATAACTGTTGTGTAATCAAATAGTCAATTTTGGTAATTCACTCGGCAGTTTTTAATTATCTCGAACCCCAAGCTCGTAACAATAGTATAGTTGTAGCACGAATAGGTCGGCTGGACCGGGGAAGGACCACGCTCTCACAGAATACCAGCGTAAAATAGCAGCTTAATGATGCTGTGTTTCGTATGGTGAGTGTAGAGAACCGGAGACCCATTTTACTGGAAAAGAGGCATTCTATCTTAGTCCTCACGGCTGACAACGCATCTCAATTTTGATTCGCAAACGAAGATAGATGTAGTGTCTATGGGCCACAGTAACCACTTGCCATTAGGTGGACTTTGTGCTCGTTTGTCACCATTATTCTATAAAAAAAATCTCACCACGCCGGACAAATGGATTAGTAAGCGCATTAGAATTATATTACAGTTCTTACATGATTGTTAATAACCCCTGGGAATAAGGTTATCATGACTATTCTTCTTCTAACACCCACCACATATCGTCCTGTGGGTGTCATAAGAGGCGAGAGAAGGAAACTAAAACAGATGGGCAGAATCTTCCTGAAAACAACATAAAATAATAAATAAATGTTCAGCAGTGGACTTTAATAGGCTATAACGACAATGGTAATTACTATTATTCAGATTTTTGTCTTTCTATATCTTCGCGACAGTTAAACTTCCAAATAAGTCATCATCAATTCTCATAACAAAAGTACTAATTCCACTCGAACGAAGTCGCGGCCAGTTAGTATATGATAAATTTGCATGGGCAAATAATAAAAATCTAATTAAACTAACGTGTAACTAGAAATCTTTAACAGTTACGAGTAACATGTTCTTAGAAAGCTTTAGCCCAAGAGTTAACTTTATAATTGGATTATTTTACAAAATACATATCGACTTCAATTATCATCGGATATTAAAGTCTCGTCGATTTAAATGGTATGACTGTGAAATTATAACTCTGTCCATAATTTAGATAGCAGCTAAATTTGTTTACTAAATTTACCGGATAATGAATTGGAGAAATTGTGTCATATACTCTAACACGAATAAAAATGTTTTTAAGTAATTACTTCTAATTTGAAACTTCATATTCAAGTATGCAGCCACGAGGAAAATTTTATTTCGTCAAAATGAAAATACCTTCTTAATAAGACAGAAAAATAACTTCGATACTATAGTGCAAATTATCTATTAGGATGAATGTTAAAGCTATTATTTTTTTTAAATTTACATAGGCTCCTAAAGAAATTATTCAAAGAAAACTATTCTGAATATTGTAAAAGATTTAATTTAGAAAACGATTGATTGATTTCATTCGGCTTGTTTTGTTCATTCCATTGCTCCATTTCCATTCCATTTCTTTATAATAATGAGTTTTTTGTTAGATGGATTTATTTTAGCTTCTTAGAAATTAAACAAGAAATTGATTTATTTGTATTACCTACAACCTATTTAAATAAACGGTAATTGTATGTAGAAATTGTGTTTTCCATCTGTCAAATGGCACAACGTGCTCAAGTTATTGAGAAATCAAAGACGTTCCTTGCATTTCCATATAATAATGTTCTTGACTCACATCGAATCGTATGCTCCTTGACAATTACCAACTACCCACCTATTAACAATATTACACATCCACCCTTATTTAAGTAATAACAAAATATTTTAAAAAAAATTTACAATTCAAATTATAATATAACGAAACTAAATTACAAAGTAAAGATTGGCATGTCATGGTACTATACCTTACGGGTCTGCTTCGTAGCATATTTGAAGTTGTGCGAAACCCAATGAATGTCCACGTACTTTCAGATGTAATTTGAAATATGTGTTAACTCACTGGAGGACCTAAGCACTATGCTCAATGACCTCAATAGCGTTTCCCAACAGATAGGTCTTAAGATGAACATGGCCAAAACAAAAGTCATATGTAACGTTCATGTCACACCTATGCCGGTAGTTGTGAGAGCACTAAGCTCGAAGTTGTTGACTGGTCAAATAGTCCGACAGGTAAGTCCAACTTAGACGGAGAGGTCAATCTGCGGATTCTAATCGACTGGGTACCGTTCGGGATATTTCGATACATCTTCTCGTCAGGCATACCTCAAAACAAGATTGTTCAACCTGTGCGTGTTACCAGTGCGTGTTACAGAGTAGCTGGCCGTATAAGGAAGCTCAAGGTCACTCAGCGAGCTATTGAAAGGGCTACGCACGGGGTATCTCAGCGCGATAGACCTAAAAATGAGAATATTTGCAGTAGAACCAGAGTAACCGACATAGCCTAACGAATTAGTAAGCTTAAGTGGCAATGGGCTGGCTCGAAAAACCGACAACCAATTGGAAAGAAAGGTTCTCGAGTGGCAGCAACCAGCAGGCGAAGTGTAGGGCGTCCCCCCACTAGACGGAGTGACGACCTAGTAAGACATGCAGGAGGTCAATGGATGTAGGTAGCTCGGGACCGTGATTTATGGCATTCCTTGAGACCTGTGTCCAGCAGTGGACCAGTGATGGGCTGTAATGATGATGATGATGATGATGTGCTAAATTTCCTCATGCATAATTTGCCATAGGTCTCTACGCCTACGCCCTCACTGTTTTTATTGTTATGTTTACTTAGCTATTATAAGGAAGATGCTGCTACCCATCCCTTTTTAGCGCAAGCGCACACGTGTGTGTATGTATGTTTTAGTGTATGTGTGTGTGTGTGTGTGTGTGTGTGTGTGTGTGTGTGTGTATGTGTGTGTGTGCGTGTGTGCGTGTATGCGTGGGTGCGTGTGTTCGTGCGTGCGTGCAAGAGTGCGTGCGTAGGTTCGTGCGTGCATGCATGCGCGCGTGCGTACGTGCGTGCATGTGTGCGTGCGTGCGTGCGTGAGTGCGTGCGTTTGTGCATGTGTGCATGCTTGCGTACATGTGTGCGTGCGTGCGTCCGTCCAAGCGTGCGTGCGAAACTGCGTGCGAGCGAGCGTGTATGCGTGCGTGCGTGCGTGTGTGTGTGCGTACGTGCGTGCTTGCATGCGTGCGTGCGTGCGCGCGTACTTGCGAACGTACGAGCGTGCGTGCGAGTGTGCGTGCGTGCGTGTGTGAATGTGAGCGTGCGTGCGTGCATGCGTGCGTGCGTGCGTGCGTGCGGGGGTGCGTGCGTCCGTTCGGGCATGCGTGCGACCGTGCGTGCGTGCGTTTATGCGTGCGTGCGAGCGTGCGTGCGTTCGTACGTGCACGCGAGCGTGCGTGCGTGCGTGCGTGTGTGCATGCATGTGTGCGTGCATGCATGTGTGCGTGCTTGCGTGCGTGCG